GCATATCGCCCAAAGAGCATACGCTAAACACTCTAGACAGATTAAGAGGAGCCCCCCCAACTATCATTCCTCAAGTACTTAAGGCTCATAGCGTACAACATTTATTATCCTTTATTAAGTGTCTTAAGATGTTTAGGAGATGAGAAGAGAAAACACAAACTCTAAGGGAAAACTAATCAACCCTAATGTTGTCATGCACAATGCTCCTAAAGTTGGGATCAAGAGGGGAAGAATTTATCCTAATGTTATCATGCAAAGGATTGAACACCTAATGTCTCTCCTACTCCCATCTTAAACACAGGGACTAGGAATCCTAAGGGATCATGACAAAAGACCAACTAAACAACAGATAATCCAATCACAGATGAAATGAAGAATGAGAAGAAGTTGACTTAAACAAGTCAATACAAATGCAAACATGATATACAAAGATGCAAAGATGGGCTATGAGAATCAAATGATGCAACAAATACAAATGATCAAAACAAGTTGACTTAAACAAGTCAAAAAGAGTGAGATGAAATGACAGAAGTTACAACTCCTACAACCATTCAAACATCAATCACTTAAGCAAAACCAAAAGGTCATAATCAAAGAGAATATGGGAGAAAGAAGCTTGGGAAGCAATCACATATAAAGTATCTCAACCAAACAATTCAAATTGATCATGTAAAAGAAAGGAGCAAACTAGTGCTAAAGGAGATGCATCATTCAAGGCAAACTCAAAGCATAAACATGAATACCAAATCACCTTGAATGATGATCAAAGAAGATGGGAAGAGGTGAAACTAAGAGAGGAAGTCTCAAATCAAGGTTAGAAACAAGGCACAAACAAGAACCAAGTCAAGGAAAATGGAAGAACCAAAGTTCTATCTCATGTTCAACACTCAAAAACAAGTGGAAATGCCTAACTTCTATGTAACTTGTGAAACAAGTTACACAAGTGTATGACCTAAAAAATAAAGAACCAGCATCTTAATCATGTCATAAACAAACATCAAGACTCATATGATGCATATGGGATCCATAAAAGTCATTTCCCAAAGGAACTAGGTCAAACTAGTTTGTATGAACCTCTTCTAAGATGACTTGACTTGCAAGCTTCATCAAAAATAGAAGAATTGTTCAATAAAATCCAAATAAAAAGCACAAAGTAAATAAGTCAAGTGATAAATAGAAACCAAAGTTTCAAGTTCAAAATCATCTCAAGGTATCACCAAATAAATCAAATATCAAGGGTGTTCCACCTTATCGGGCATTAATCGAGGGTTCATAAAAGTCCAATCAAATTCAAATGAAAAATTATCAATGGTCACTCAAAATCATCCTCAAGAATGACTCAATCCCTTGCCTAGGTGAGGGAGAAGCCATGGTCATAGGAGATAAGGAATTGAGGTCCAAATGGTCATGATCATACAAGGTAAACACCATAAAAGTCATTTAATTGCAAATTCTAAATAAAATAGCAAAATAAAATAAAAACATAAATAAAAATTATGGAAAATTAAATAACATCTCAAAGTGTAAGAAAATATTTTTTGTGGAATTTTTAGACAATTAGAGCTATTTTAAATAATTAAAAAGAAAACAGAAATCAAAAATAAAATAAAATGAAATGGAATTGCAAAGGGGGTGTAGAAACAAAAACCAAATGCACTGAATTGCTTTGTAAATCTCGCTGGGCTCAAAAGGAGGAGGGTATGAAAAGCAATCTGAGCCTACTGATCCAAGCCATTTCACAAAAATGAAACGCTGTGTTTCATTAATCCTTGCTGGATTTCAACGCACGCGTGGCCTGGTCAAACCAATGGAAACCAAACAAGTTATGGGTTAAACATTCAAACCTGGACAACTCAACATTGGCCTGAAAATAGACCAGACACTGGAGCTAGGGCTCCGTTCGTCTTCTCCGGCCAGCTCGCCGGAGATCAGAGGTCAAATCTCAATAAAAATACCAGAATCTTATACCATTTGAAAACTCTCATCACAAGGATCATGAATCCACCATTATTTTTCAAAAAGGTTCCTAAATAAGGAGAATCGAAAGCTTTAATTTTATGGTGCACATTCTGAAATTCCAACATACAAGCAAATCAATGATCCAAACATTGCCTACCATAGGTAGGGCTTCAGATGCAACCCAACATGATCTTATTTGGTGCCTAGAATGAGAGAAACAGTTGGAAGAAATTTACCAAACAGAGCAGTTCCGTTGACTCTTCTAATGCTTGCAAACTTCAATTTCCAGCTTCCAAATCCTTCCTTGAGCTTTGAGAGAAATGATTCAAGCACCAGTTTGAAGAATTATCCAAGGAAAAATGAGATTCGAAGAAATGAAGATTTGAGGAATTTTGAGCTCTCTCTCTTCTCTCCAACATCAACCACCACTTCTGAGCATTAGGGCAAACTTTAGAGCTTATATATGATGGGTTTTCAGCAACCATGCAGGCCCATGTTGCTTGTATCATGTGATTTCAAACTTTGCCCAAAAAATTCCATTTTACTACACACTCGGGTTAGGCATGTTTTTACTTATTTTGGGTCAGCAAATGGCAATATGTAGTGTGTGGAAAGGAGTGGAATGGTTTGTGGTCATGGAGAATGAATTAGTGTAAAGTTCTATGTCATGACTTTTTAGGTGATTTTGAGAGAAAAGTGGCACATAATGACTTTAACATGTTGGTCCAAATGTGGTAGACTTCTTTATGATCATGTATTGGTGTGAAAAAGTTCAAAAATGAGATCAAAAGGTAACTTGTAATGTAAGATATTCAATCCATGACCAAAAGTCAAATTTTCACCTTAAAATGATCCACATGATCACATAATGCATTAAACTTCATGAATTTTGAGTCCATTGTGAAGTTGAGACCCTTAGGCACAAGTTTCATGTTGGTCAAAATTGGATTTGAGGTCTTAAAGTTCATGAAAATGACCATTGAAAAGAATGACCCATAATGAAGTTTCCAAAAATACCCTTGCTTTGTGAAGACCATAACTTGAGATGTACACATGATAAAAAAGACTTATAGGACTTTTTGGAAAGCTAAGATCATGAGGAAAAACTTTCGTGTTCACTTAAATTTAAGGAGAAACTTGATTCTAAGCCAAAAATGCCTTGGACGTGAGTTGACTTTAAGTTGACCAAAATTCTCTTTATCTGAGAATCCTAACTTGTTGGTATCATAACTTGAGATGTACAAACTCAATGGATGAATTATTATACTTAAAAGAAATCTTGGAATATTCTCTACAAGTCTCATGTTTTCATGAAAAATAGATTGAGCTTGCATCATAGGGAAAAATATCCTTGAAGTTAGGCACTAAAGAATGGGATTTTACACTGAAAACCTCTGAAACCCTAATTTAGTAACTTCTTGAACTCTTGATTTGATCTTATCATGACATCTTAGATGCTTCAAGATGACTTCCCATGGCTTGTATGACTTAGAACCAAGTTTTTAACCCTCTCAAGTCCACAGTTGACTTTGGGTTGACCAGATGAAACCCTAGTTCCATATCCTTTGACTGTGGCTCATGAAGATGAATTGAATGACTACTCAAGCTCCACAATGACCCCTAAGGTACTCAATGAGTTTTTGAACCATGCCTCAACCAAGAACAAAACCTCATGAATCCTTGAGAACCCTCTGATGATCCTTAGGATGGGAGGTGATTCCAATACACAAACTTCTCCCCTCAAGCAGCTTTGAAACTTCCATGGTGATGATAAACACTTGATGGCTTGCACAAACGCTCTTGCTTGAGCTTGAAACCAAAGAGACTCTCCTCTTGAATGGCAAACACAACACCTCTTGATCCCCTGTTTAGAACCCATGCTATGCAAATGCAATGAAACATAAGTCAAGTTAGAAAGAAAAGGTTGGTCAAATTTTGGAGTACAACAGTATGGAGTTTTGTTCCTTTATGGTGAAAAGACTAATTCAGAGTTGATGTGTTACTCAGACTCTGATTGGTGTGGAGACAGAGTTGACAAAAAAAAAACTTCTGGATATTTGTTTAAGTATATGAGAGGTTCTATTTCTTAGTGTTCCAAGAAGTAACCAGTTGCTGCTTTGTCAACCTGTGAAGCTGAGTACGTTGCAGGTGTTGTGGTTGCATGTCAAATTGTTTGGTTTTTGAATATATTGCAGAATATGAAGATTAAGGTAAACAAGCCTATAAAACTGATGATTGATAACAAGTTTGCAATCAATCTTGCCAAGAGTCCAGTTCTGCATGGGAGAAGCAAACATATTAAAATCCAATATCACTTTCTGAAAAGTCAGGTTCAGAATGGAGTGTTAGAAGTTACATATTCTTAATATGTATCACACTTATTATTGTGAGACAGATAAAGCAACTAATATTAGACAAAATATCTTTTTTGGTCACTTAACTTTATCCTTAGGTTCAGATTGGTCCCTTAATTATTTTTTGTGTCAGATTAGTCTCTTAACTATTTAAAACATGTCATATTGGTTATTTTTGTCTAATTAGCGACGAATTTAGCGACGAGTTTTGAATTTTTTTCGTCGCTAATTAGACAAAAAAGACCAATATGACACATTTTAAAGAGTCAAGGGACCAATCTAACACAAAAAATAATTAAAGGACCAATCTGAACCTAAGAATATAATCAAGGGACCAAAAAGAATATTTAGCCTTATGATGTATAATTTTTACATATATTTCTTAGAAGATACTCAGTTGTAAGTTTATAAATTTATTTAAACTTTTATTGTAATATTTACTCTATAAATTTATTTAAACTTTTATTGTAATATTTACTTGTTCACATGTTTGGTATAATTAAAATAATTTAGTTTATAGTTTTCATAATTCAACTATAAAATACTAGAACTTTTTAATGTTTAAAAACTTTGATGCTTGCTTATCTTCTTGATATATTTTCACTCTGCAGTTTATACATTATATATCAATCACCTTCACAAAACAACTTGAAATTTAACATGCTCTCTCAACACATTATATGAAACTCAAGGAAGTTTACTGCTAGAAGAAAAATCATCTTTACTTTGAAGAGTTATGGAGGTGGGAACCCATGGCCCTATTGACGATTCATGTCTTTGATCTATGCTTTCGTGTGAAAATGTAGAAGAATCAAGAGCTTGGCTATCTTCTGACAGCAACTCAGAGGCTTTGAGTCTTGCATGGTGGCCGCTCTCACCACGGTTGATTGGCGCTTGGATTGGAGTTTTTCCTTCAAGCATGCTTACAACCAATGACATGGATGGTCTATGAGTCGGAGATGTGTTGGAGCATAACAATGCCAAGCTCAGCATTCTCATGGCCTCCTCTGTGGAGTAGCTTGAACCAAGATTTGGATCCACCAGCTCCATAAGGCGTCCTTGCTCTTGGAGATCATAGGCCTTCAATGGGGCGTGAAAATATGAAATAGAAAATTACACAAACCATACATATAACAGAAACAAGAAAGAAAGAGGACGAGTTTGGTGTTGTGAGCTCATAGTAGAAATTGAGATGAACTCTACTTTGATAGTAAAGGATTATCTGTGAGCTCATAGTAGAAATTGAGATGAACTCTACTTTGATAGTAAAGGATTATCTGTGAGCTCATAGTAGAAATTGAGATGAACTCTACTTTGATAGTAAAGGATTATCATAAACTCGCAAATTCAAAAAGGAAGTTGAAACATACCCAGTCCATGAGATATACAAACTCCTCCATTGGGTTGAAATTTGTGTTGCTTTTTCCACTAACAATCTCTAAAGCTACAACTCCAAAACTATATACATCTGCTTTATCAGTCAAGTAACCCCGCATAGCATATTCAGGAGCCATGTATCCACTATTAAAAAACGTAACACCAAAGAGTTAGTGATGATTTCACAAAACAACGATTCATAAAATATCAACTAAATTTGAACAAAAACTCAAATTCATGCTAATAGTTATTGCAAGTACTAACATTGTTCCAGCTACCCGGGTACTGATATGGGTGTTCCCTTCGTCATCAAGCTTGGCTAAACCAAAGTCAGAGATCTTGGCATTCAGATCCTTGTCAAGCAATACATTAGTTGCCTTGATGTCTCTATGTACTATTTTCAGTGTCGATTCTTCATGAAGATAAGCTAATCCCTTAGCTATACCAAGACAGATCTTCATTCTTGTAGGCCAATCCAAGTGCAGCTTCTGTTCCTGATGACCTGTCGAAATGCCAGGGGAGGGGAAAAAATTTCAGTTACATCTTGGTTTTGAAGTAGAAAACACACTCACATACACCCACAACACCAAGGTATTATTGTTAATGAAGGAAATTCACCAAAAAGTGCACGGCCAAGACAGTTGTTCTCCATGTATTCATATATCAGTAGCAACTGCTTTCCTTCAATGCAACAGCCGTAGAGCTTAACAAGATTTGGATGCTGCAAAGCAGATATCATTCCAATTTCGTTAACAAATTCGCGGTTCCCTTGCTTTGATTTGGAGGAGAGCTGCTTAACAGCAATGACATCGCCGTCTGACAGCACACCCTGCATTAAGCCACTTCAATATAAATTAGTAGCATAGATATTGTGCGAGATTGAACGAATGTGGGGGAAAAAGGGCGGAAAAGCCATTAACAGATTTTTCTTATAATAAATAAAAGTTTCGCGGGGAAACGTTTTGAACTTTTAAAGAATACGTGGATAGCTATGATCTGTGCATAGTTTACCTTGAATACAGGCCCAAATCCTCCTTCACCAATCTTATTTGCAGGGTCAAAGTCATTAGTAGCTGCTTTAATTTGTCTCAAGCTGAAATAACCTGTTTTAAGATCAAGAAGGTCTGCAATATGGAAGATTCGTAAGTAAATCCCCACTCAGATTTTACAAAATTTCTTCTCATTTTTTCATCCATACATTAATTTTTATGCCTCCAAAGAATATGGATGCGTAAATGTCATGTTCATCCCGAATTATGTATCGTAAACTCATGTTCTTTTGGACTCAAATCTTACCTTTGTCTCTTATATCTTTTTCACAAAGGAAACCCATCTTCCAAAGGGCAACGACTATGAGTATGACAAGCACGCATGATGCAGCCACAATTCCAATGATAACTCCAGCAGACAACCCTTCTGAATGATTTTTGAAGTCTACAACAAAATTGAAATGCTTATACAACACGGCGTAGCAAGATAGTTGAAAGATTATTAAAAAAAAGCCTTACTTGGTGTTACTGTGATAGCTGATATAAGAGGTCCATATACACCTCTGTCAGGAATGGCCGTGGTTCCTTTCCCTGCCCAATATAAGTGAATTTCCAACGTGCTGTCGTTGACTTCAACATCGAATTCCTTAGCGATTCCCTTTCCAACGCCGCGAGCTTCTTCCATAATGTTAAAATCTTTCAAATATTTAAAACCCTGTGATGATGTAGCATTTTAAATTTATACCTTCAGTTTAGGATGCATGGTTTATTCAAATACCCGATACAACCGAAGAAGTGTACATTTTTTTTTAGTTAACCCGGATAGAGTACAAAATAGGATGGAAATATAAGATTCAATCGAAATTATTTTGATTCAGAACTCACTTGAATTGAAACATCAAATATGCGTTTTCCCAGACTTTTAAAAGTCTGGTCGTCAGAAAACATTATCTCAGCAAAGTGGAGCTTCACTTTATAATTCCCCTTTTGCATACAAAGGCCATAGTAACTAAGTGACAGAGGGGAAAGCCGAGCAGTGTTATAGTAATCCGGGCCATTAATATTCAAAGAATATGTATTTGATGCTGTATAGTCTGCATTAACATTTCCCATATACACTCCTGTGCTGCTATAAGCCCATTGTCCAGCATTTCTAAGAACAAAATTTGAAATTCCATTTTCTTGCAGGTCACCGACATAGTGATTTCCATCAACATCTTCTTCTGGTCCTCCACAATTTATGAACAATGAATCATCTGCAAAGACAGAATGAAATCTAATCACGATCTGTTCCAGAAAAAATGTTGTATGTAATTTGTTCGATCTAGTAAATGAGCTCAACACTAACATTGAGGTTTTCCAGCACAAGGAAGGTTCCTCTTCAAACAAAATGTTCTACAAAACAAATGTAGTTAGTTTCAATTGATTATTCAATTTAATGGTGATAGCCAAGTTTGGAAATAATAAAGAACTTACGAAGGTGAAGTGACCGCCGAAGACGAATGACTCGAAGCCAAGTTCCTTTTCCGAAACAATAAGTTGTTAGCATAATAATATTGACACAAACGAAATGCGTATATATTGCTAGACAAAGGGAACCTACAGATTCAGCTGCTGGCAGCTAGTTGCAGAAGACTTTGTAAAATTATTGTAAGATAAATCTCTGAAAGAAAACATATAGATAGATTGAATTTTAATTCTTCATAGCTCAATTACAACTTGAGATGTAATTCTATAATGCTAAATTCCTAGTGACTGGTTTAAATTTCGCAATTGGAGAAAACATAGTGGTTAATGAGATAGGCTAACATGTTAATTTTGAAGTTCAGTATCCAGTCTTGAATTGGTCCACTCAAAGAATTATTCGTCATAAACCTGCAAACAGAAAAATTGAATCAATAAAGAAAAAACGGCTAATTTTCTAGATATAAAAAATATAGATAACTTTTATTTTGGTTAATCTTATGGTCAGTAAATGAATGTTCACTTACATGTAATTTAGCCTTTTCAATCCCTGAATTGAATTTGGTATCGAACCGGTAAACATATTGAAGCTTAGATCTCTGCAAGAAGTAAGTATATATCAAATTCCAAAAACCGGAAATTTTGGAATGTTGAATGATTGGCAAAAAGAAAAGAAATACTAATTTTTAGCTGAATAGAGTATCGATTTGACTCACAAAGTAACTAAGTTTGTCATTTCACCAATGTAATCGGGAATGGGACCCGTGATTAAGCAATTTCTCAGCTCCCTGAGTCACAGAAATGTAACAATAAATTAAGAGCAGAAAAAATCATTTAGTTCTTCACAAAAATAGCTGAAAATATTTCAACTCACAGTAGTTGCAAGTTTTTCAAATCCTTCAGATTAGGAAATGTCATAGACGATCCACTCAAATCACTTATTCTCCTGAAACAGAAAGTCAACCATTTTTAAAGATCTAACGATTATAATTGATTGTTGGTCAACACACAATTTATAGTTAAATCCTATTAAGGAAAAGGTGAAGCTACTCACAACTCGGTCAAAAGTTTCAACTCCGATATGGTAGGGGGAATTGGACCTTCCATAGATGTTCCCTGCATATCCCTTCAAAAACATAAAACTTCATCAGAAAATAGTAAACATATTAAGCATGATATATAACATATAGAATTTGTTTTCCTCTCCAACACACAAAAATGTCATTGATAGATCTAAATGTATACTAACAATCTCCCAAGCTTGGTCCAGTTCCCGATAAAACTAGGTATCTGTCCAGATAAACTGCTTCCATCTATCCGACTGTAGAAAATGCACACATCGATTTCAGAATCTAATAGACACATGTATTTCTATAAAATAGTATCAGTTCATATCACTCACAAATCAGTGAGATTCTTTAGTTTGCTAAATGATTCAGGTATCGCGCCAGTAAAATTATTCGAAGAAAGAAGCCTGCAGATTCATTTGAAATAATTCAAAAAATTAGCGATACACAGAAAAAGCATCCGGAAAATAATTCAAAATGAAAATGAGTAGAAGGAAGAAACATTCTTACAGTCTCTTCAAGTTGCTCAAATTTCCAAGACTAGGAGGAAGTGGTCCTCCAAGTTGATTATTTTCTAAAACCCTATGTACATGCAAACCAACATAATCATTTAAGTATTCAACTTTGCAAGACCCTATCATTTTTTAACATAACATCAAAATTCTTTCCAACACTTACAAATCCTCCAAGCTAGTAATATCACCAATTTCTGCGGGAATCGGACCACTTAATCGGTTTCCCAAAAGCGACCTGAATCACAATACCAGTAGTGCATTTGTATAAACTTTGTATTAATCAAAATGAAAGCTTCTAGCATTAAAGTGATACAATGAGACTTATATAGACTAAGAGTCAAACTAACTTTAACCAGTTTGTAACTAACTTGCAACTAATAACTAACTCTCATATAGTGTAACCAATTAGTAAGTAACTTGAACTAATTTGCAACTAATATTAATATCTCTAACAACATTGATTTAAAAATAGTCTGAATTTTGCACTGGTGAGACAAATAAAGTGAGATCACTGGAAAAATAAATATAACTTACAAAACAACTAGAGATTTGTTAGCAAAACTCGTTGGAATTGAGCCATTGAGATAGTTCCGTGTAAGATCACTGCAAACAAACACATAATAGAAGTTCCAATTACTCTTTAACAGATAGTATTAGTAATTTCCATAAAACAGAATTTAAATTTATAACCACTCACAGTATTTTTAATTGAGTAAGATCTCCAAATTCACTAAGCATGGCTCCAGCTATATTTTGTCCCTTTAGAAAACTGCCATAGCCAAATTGGTATCGGTTTCCATAAAAAACTACAAATCTATACACAGAATAGAAAAGAAAAGAAAGAAAACATACATGGTAGTAACATGGCAAAGAGTTTTATTTTGGAAAGTGCAATCACATGTGACATTCCTTACTGTATCATCATCTACATTATCATTATCAAAGCCTCTACCATCAATGCAAGAATGTTCTGTGACTTTCCAATTCACGTTCTTTAGTTTATTTGGTATTGTTTGTAGAGATTTCACTGTAAAATTACACAAATCAATTACTTTAATTAGTTCCACCACTGATTACAATTATCTTCAAATGAGTCATATATATATATATATATATATATATATATATATATATATATATATATATATATATATATATATATATATATATATATATATATATATATATATATATATATATATATATATATATATATATATATATATGGAGGATATCTAATGAAAATGAATAAGTTATACGAGAATGTGAAAATGAATAAGAAATATCAGATTTAAAAACTAAAGATTGACATTAAATTGTGATTTTTACTAAATCATACGTCATTAAGCGAAAAGAGAAATCATTAATCAAATTTTAATCTCAACCTTTTCTTTTTAAATCAAATGGTTTTTATTTATTCTAACATTTTTATATAATTTATCTATTCTCACTAAATATGTCTATCAAACGGCCCTGCCTTTTACTTTAAGTGAAAAAGTTATGAAGTTTTCCGCGGACAAAGTCATTTTTGCACAACAATTTGATATTAATCACATATATAATATGTGGTCAATTGATGAGGTATTTAATTTGATTTATGGCTAACATTAGTTAGTTTAATTAGATGGTCAAATGCAACCTAATTTAAATTATTTATTAAATTATGTTAAGACAATTCTGATAATTTAATTTTATGGAAGTAGTTGATTCCAGCGATATAGGAAAATCGAGTAAATGGGGTTGGTTTTGATTGAAGTGACCATTACCAAATTGTTAATCATTGACAATGGTAAGACATGTTCAACATATTCAATGAAATAATACAGTCAAAACCCATAAAGAGAAACGATAGCATCTTTGAATTTGACATCAGCCATGCAGTATAATATCCATTCCAGCATCTCGAAATTTGACTTTTAATCCTTTCAAAATTAGCCATCATTTATGAAACATTATTTTCAACATTCCATAATTACTATATCATGTGAATCAACTTTATTATCTTAGTTTCTACAGTATTTCTATCATATCATATCATATCCTATCTTAAAATAAATAAAGTTATGGTTGTTCCAATCTGTAAAGGAAACCATCTCACATGTGATGATGCCATTATTTATCACAAATTCACACGCTTCAATAATTAATCAGATTATTAGAGTTGTTAATTTCTCTACGGAGTACTGTAGAAGTGAGTGGGAACGGTTAGACCTTAGAAAAGGGTGGTTAAAGCCTCAAAGGCAGTTTCATTACCAATCAATAATCAAAAATAAAAAAGCATCGATCATAACAAATGCAAGCGTACCTTCATCTTGTGGTATGAGTTGAGCGTTGGATCCAAACTCTTGAACAGACAAGTTCAAAGCCAGTAAAAAACACAGGATCATATATTTCGATTTCCAACCTAACATCGTATGTTGTATATATGCTTGATTCCTCTCAAACCTTCATAGTTTTTGGCTTTCGGACAGAACACAATCGCCGTCACTTCTCAACCCAAACAAACAAATTAAGAAAACAATAGTACTCTTGGTTCTTTTAATAATTTGTTAAAAGAAGTGAAGCTTTTTAGAATAAAAAAGGAATTTGACAACAATTGTTAGAGATGAAAGAAGGAAAAGAGAGTAAGTGAAAGATGTAATCAGAAAAATGAAAGAGAATGAAGGTGATGAAGATATATATCATATAATTAAAGGGTGGATATTTATTTAAAAATAGAGTCTAATGTTTTTACACGAAAGACAACAATTTTTGTCTGTCTGACTATGAGGTCAAAATAAGGAGACTTGAGGAGGGAAGAATTTTAGAAAGTGATAAATAGGTAAATTTTTAATTATTTTTGTAAAGAGTGTTTTGTATAAATAATACATTCATATTTTATTTTTTTTAAACAAATATTTATATATAGAGTATTAGGAGTATTCTAATTCGATTCGATTATAAACGATCGAAAAAATTCCAAAAACAGAACAATTTCAAACCAATTACACCTTAAGCTATGCAAAGTATAGGATCCTTACAAAAATCATAAAAACAAAAGTTGGTATAAGAATTATTTCTCAAAACAGTCCACTTCCAAAGAAGAAGTTTAATCTTCTAAGCCAAATCATTGATGTTAGCTTTCAAATTCTTAAAAACAATAGCGTTACGGTGGATCTATAAGCTCCAAACAACTGCCACCTAAACAACTCCTACCTTATTTTGAAGGTTCTTATTACTTCTAAAGTTGTTACAAACCTGCAAAAATATTCCCCTATCTATACCCGTTCGCACAAGACCTATAATACAAAGACACACATACAACACATCAACAACATGATATGTTCTAGTATGTTCCTCTTCTAGTATCTCCTAATGAATTGACATGTATGGATCTCCTAGAATATTTAGTGTCATATAAGGATGTGAAACTAAAAAATACCACTGGACTTAGTCGTATGCACAACTCCAATCGCTAGGAGCTACATTACCTCGTGCTTCACCCGATACTAGATGATTAAGGAAATCAACATGCACGACATCTGTAACACCCCTTCTATACCCCCAAATAAACAATAAATATATATAGGCACATATAAAATTTATCGGAGTATGCTTTAAAGTACGGTATAAAAGAAGTATGTCACATTATCACCAATAAAACATTCAACGCCTGCTCTATACAAATATGCAACCGTGGGATAGTTTTCAAAATAGAGGAACTTGGTCCTTACACCCACGTCTCGATATTTAAAATTAAAGCGGAAGATTAAAACATTTAAATTGTTTCAAAACATTTAATCACATAAATACATGTTATCCAGTTGGTTCATCAATCATTCATGTTATAAAACATTATCAACTGATACATCACAAATGTATCACAAAAGAATGTTATACAAGCCTAACTACCCGGTGTTACATAATCAGAGCAGTCCGACTCAAAAGAATGAAGTTATACTTCACAAAAGAAACCTCCAGCAACCTAATCTGCAATGCCTCATAGAGCATCATAAAACAGCAGAAGGGTGAGAAATATTACCATAATAATCAATGCATAAGATTATATATATAAACAAGTAACAATTACATATAATCCACATTTCTCACCACACTTCATTTCATAGTCATATTCATCACGGCATAAATATAAACGAATATGAACAAGCATCAAGCATATCCCTTCATGCATATTTCACAATTATCCAAACACATCACATTTACAAGCACACTTCATATATCAATGACATTTATACTATGTGACTCCAAAACAACTCAATGCAACTCAATGCCACTAAATGCTATGTGGTACCAACACTCGTTATCATTTTTCGGTTTTTACATTAAACCAGGTCCACTCTTCTAGACCGATAACGACAAAAGCCCGTCCTCTAAGCTTTCAAACCCACTCTTCTAGGCTTGGGACAAGTCACTAGTCTCCACGAGACTAGCAAGCATTGCCTCTTGACTGAATGATGCATATGTAATCGAAAATCAAATGCACTTAAGACCGACATCTTAATCTCATGCATTCAAATAATTCACCTCTTCAAGAATTACGTCATGATTGCAAACACAACATATTTCACAACAAGTCAAGGTATTCATACAATTAATACCAATAACATATTCACAAGCTATGCACACATATCCACAATGTTCTCATGCACATTTATCATACAATTCACGCACAGCATTATGTGTTCACAATTTATCAGACAATGCACACATAACCTCTATTATGTTCTCATGCATTTCCAATCAATACAAATAATATACACATCTCAAAACCTAGGATTCACGCCCGAAGGCTACCCACAACATATCACAATAGTACATAAACTATACGATTAAACAAGCAATAAACCATAGTCGAACCACACAATCAACCTATGGATGAATCTCAAACAAAACAAAAACCTGTCATACTTGCTACTCCTTCGCTAAGCGAACTACTAGCGAGTATTCGCTACTTGTTTGCCTAGAGAACGTGCTAGCGAACCTCAACAGAAGCTACTGACTTCATTCGCTACCTGCTCGCTACAGCGAGCTTCCCAGCGAACCATTCGCTATCTCTTCGTTACACATTCGCTACCAGCGAACACACCAAAAATCCATTATGTCCAAGTCTGGGACCATTCGCTACTTGTTCGCTGAGCAAGCTCCTAGCGAGCGTTCGCGACCTGCTCACTTAGCGAGCTACTAGCGAGTGTCTGCGTATTTTGTTTTTCACTTACTGTTATCCAACTCAACCAACTCCCCAAACTCCAATCTCACCAATCCAATTCCAATACTCTTAGTCTAACATTTCTAGACTATTCTACATCATCTATTTCAGATTCTAACCGATTAAATGGAGTTCTACCGATTAAATCCAACTTTGCCCTAAAGTGGAAAAAATGGTGGAAAACATCCAAAAATCCAACCCAAGCATACATAATCACACACATTGATCAAATAATAATGTTTCTCACCCTTACCTTGCTCAAATCGATGCTTGAGAGTTGTTCTTGATGAAAATCCAAGCTTTGCTCTTTTCTTCCCTTTTTCTCCTCTTCCACTTTCTTTCTCTTCTTTCTCCTTCTTATGTTTCTAACTTTCTATTTCTTTTCCAAATTTTCTTTATATCACTTTCTATTCAATTTCCTTCCAATTTAGTTTCCTCTCAAACATCTACCAATTTAATAAATAATCACTCAATTAATTAAATAAACCCCATAATTCATTTAATTAATTAAAATAATCACTTAATCAAAATTGGACTGTTACAACATCTACATCTCTACAGACCATAGTAGGAGGAGCAAAATTAAAGGGGTATCTTGGAACAAACTGCATATACCTGAATTGGTACATGTTGTGCTCAGGAAGACGTAGATACATCAAACATGATCTACAAGTCAATCATCTAGAGTATAAGGCCATGTCATTTAAGGGACATGTCTGATGGTGATCTTCGTACGCTTGGAAGTGTATATCATTTGCTAATGTGCAATCAAGCACATGGCATAACCTCAGTGTAGGTATCAACGTATGACCAGCCAAATATGTGTGGGAAGTGTTGGTGGATACATGCTTGAAAATGATACATATGAATTATTATTAATGGCATTGGACAAATTCTATGAAAATGGTACATAAATAGTAAAGGATGCAAATATATTACTATCAACAACGTGCATCTAGTTGTCATATTTATGGTCTTCCACATATAACCTTCAACTAACTTAGAGTATAGGTAGACCAAATAAGCGGTCCCCCCTAGTTGTACATGAATCAACTCCAAGTTAATCACTATGCCAAATAAGACATTTAGCAGCGCCTTTTTTCCCTTTAGCAGCGCTTAAAAGCGCTGCCTAAAGTGGCGCTGCTAAAGGTAAAGGCAGCGTTTTTTTATGGAAAAAGCGCTGCTATAGGCCCCCCTTAGAAGCACTTTTAGCAGCGCTTTTTCCCCCCTTTAGCAGTGCTTTCAGAAGCGTTGCCTATTCCCCCTCCCCCCCTTTAGCAGCGCTTTTCAGAAGCGCTGTCTATTCCCCCCCCCCCCCCCCCTTTAGCAGCGCTTTTTATAAGCGCTGTCTATTCCCCCCCCCCCCCCCTTTAGCAGTGCTTTTGATAAGTGCTGCCTATTCCCCCCCCTTTAGCAGCGCTTTTTAAAAGCGCTGCCTATTCTCCCCCCTTCCCCCTCCTATAGCAGCGCTTTTTTGAGCGCTCTCTATGCTCCCCTATAGCAGCGCTTCTTTGTAAAAGCGCTGTCTATTCTTCACGATTTTAAATTTTTTTTTTAAATAATCACTTTTTTAATATTTTTTTCGATAAACCTGCTTATAACAATTACATTCCCTGCTTATAATTCAGGCCTTTAATTCAACACTTTGGCCTTATATATACATTGTAATTCAACACTTTGGCCATAATCATTGTAATTCACATACTTCACAAATACAGTCAATTTACATTATGTAATTCACATACTTCACAAATACATTATATAATTCAACACAATCCGATCCTCAGAACAACTTCACAAATATACAGTCAATTTACATATAATTACAAAACCGATAACTTTACACATAGATACGACTTCCAGAAATATTATTATACCACATCAATATTTGACGATACATATACCTTATACAATTCTCAACTCAATAATGTATTGACACCATTCCTCCTTAATTTCTTCCAATCATGTTTTCGAGTATGTACCACACTTGAATTCATCAAAGTACTACATAATATAACAGAACATGCATGATTTAGTTTTAAAACTTATTACTCAGATGAAATATCGATTAATTATTAAAATAAATCATATACTTATGGATTGATCCATACCATGATTGGAATATCTATTTGACCCGAGTGAATAATTTCCTTCATAAAGCGCAATACAAAATATCCGCAATCAATCCCATTGCGCTGACAAGGA